CACAGGAGGGTTTTGGGGTGCATAATAAAACATATTAAACTAACTAACTAACCTGCCCTCCCATGTCAGGGGCCCCTAAAAACCCCTAACAATAACAATCTGCCCCCCTTAGTTGTTCCATGAGCAGGTGGGTTAGTAGGCCCTTTTGCGCCAGCCTTCGTTGGGTTGTGAACGTCTCTCTCTCGCCTGAGTATAAATGACAGATTTCCCCGTCCTCTCTGGGACGCTTGTCCTCATTTATTTTGACCGCCGGGCACTCTACAGGGGGGCACCTGTTCATGGGGCTTTTAGGCAGCTCCATTTTTTTCCGCTCTGCGGAAAATTCTTTATCGGTCTTTGGTGGAAAGCGGTCACTGAACTTAGGGGGGAGTGTGGGGTCCCTCTCTGCTGGGGCTTGGCAAGGGTGTCCACCGGATCTAATTGGAAACTTCAAGTTTTATCTCTGTTTACAAAGGAGCTTTTGTTCCTTTTTTTCAATGGCCCAGCCCTGAGCAACAAAATCTTCCTCGTCCCATCGAGAAGTCGGGCTGGATACGGCTTATACTGTCAGCGGCCCTGTTTAAACACAACAAAGGCAGCTGGTTTGTTGTTAAATCCTGCTCGTCATGTGAGCGAAGAAAATACCTGTGTGCTTGTTTACATAGTAACAAATAGGATTTAATATCGAGATTATCAATTTGGTTGAACTAGGTCATTTCCTATTATTGTAAGTTGATCCTCTCTTTAATGTTAATGTAAATAACTCGGTTTACTTTATTCCCATTATCCCCTCAAGGGGGGGTTTCCCTTGACACTGGTGAAGGGCTCTTGTTCTAGGGAAATCGGAATCAGTGCTCCAGTTCCCTGAATTGAACCTAAATGTCTTCCATTCCTTCCCCATAAGCGCTGTATAATCCTACGGGTTTAGCGCTCCCCTTGATTAAAAATAATTTATTCCAATAAAAACGTATTCCTGATTTTCACAGCTGATTTACTTAGCTTTTTTAAATTTTAAGGTGCAAATAATAGATATTATAAGAACCATTATGAAATAAGTCACTGACATATTTTGGAGTTATCCTAGGTAATTTACACTATACGTTTATGATAATTGTACTTATGGTACCTGTACCTAAATAAATTACTTGTGGTAACAAATAGGGTTAGCACAAGTTTAAACGTACTTGGTTGAACTCAGCCATTTACTTATTTAGCATGCAAGCAATGTATCAAAAAATTTTGACTCTTAATTATAGTTTGAATTGAACAAAATATTGTTGGTTTTGCACTTGAGATAATATTTTGTTGTGTAAATAGTGAAAAAGTAACAAAACTGTGAAAACCCAACCTAAAATAACCAAACCTTCCACTGGTGCATGACAAATCATTACTAAGCAATGATAAGCTCAGACTTGCACACGGCCTAAATAAATGTACTATTTTTGCCATAGTTCTAAAAATAACAATTTGCACAATTACTTATTATAGTGCAAGTATCGTAAAACATAAATTAATGTCTGTGTTCCCCCGATATGTAATGCCGAAACTATAGCCAAGAATAAATATATATCAGCCTAGGTTTTGTTAGTTTGAGACAGGCGGCTAGATTAGGTGGGCTAGTTTAGGCTTGGGGAGACCTTAACCTAACGTAATTTAACTTAACCCAATATAGAAAAAGCCTTGTATAACAATTTGCACTAAAAGAAACTATCGCTTTTGTTACTTAACCCTTAAACTGTCTAGACATAGATCTACGTTCGCCGCATAGTGCTCCGAACATAGTCTACGTCCCAAATTTTTCATTGTTTCTTATGCAAAAAAGAAAAGTAGTCTATGTTTGGAGCGCTACGCTCGCAAATGCAGATCTATTTTTTGGACAGTTTAAGGGTTAATATTGTACACATTACCTGTACAATAAATTTATGTATTGTCAAATTCTGCCAGTCAGCTAAAAATTGATATTGACCTAAATAGGTACCTAGATGTCAGCTGACAGTTGCAGGTTTTATCTTGAGGAAGAGAACCAAAGTATCCAATAAAAAATAGCCAAATGATTGACATTCTGGGATATTAACCTTATGAGTTAATATTTTTGAAAAAAGTCATATTCATAATTGGGTAATTGCCTGTTTGACTTTGCAAGGGGTGAGCTGTGTGGTTATTAGTCCCACCTCTTAAAATTTTGACTAACATGAATTATCTATATCTTTGTGTTTGAACCTTTTTAAATGGAGGACATCTGCAATGTGTTTGTTTTTGGTTAACGAATAACACACTTGTGTACACTTGAGTAGCTTTAGTGATGGACATATTTTGTCAGTGGTGGCCTTTTCAATCCAATACAGTCAGGGGGAAAAACACTGGAGACTGTGGAAGAAATGGTGAGGGAATTTGAGGTGATCAGTCCTCAACTTTGATTAAATCTGAAGCAGATGCCTAAAGGAGACTTATATACTGTACTCAAGCTAGAGAAATTTGTGCAGCAGTAGATGATATCAGCATTGGGAGGTCCCAATAGTGGAAGTATGGTTACTAAGCCCTGCTCTAGAGTTGGGGCAGAGGTTGGCAGTAAAATTGAGATATCCTCTGTACCATGATTTCATGGCATTGCCATGTCACATAAGTACAGTAACTCTAGGTATAACAGATAATAAAGGGATTGTCCAAGCATCCATTAAATCAGAATGTTAAAATGTAGCAAAAAAAAAAAAAAGTACTGAAGTACTAAAGCCTGGTCACAGACTGGGCCACGGGGGTGTTGACCCCTGGAACTCTCTCCAGGTAAACTCTCCAGGTATACCTAATATAGTACTGTACACACAATTTACAGATATATTGCAATAAACATTGGAAAAAAAGGAGTTAAAAGTACAATTTACCCAATGGATTTTGCCCATAATTTAAAAAATCTATTACATATAGGTCTGTTATAACAAGGATTTGCTGTTCAGTGTTATGCAGAGATGCAGTTATGATATATGTCTTTCATACTTGTTCATCTTTCTAATATTATATTGCGATTACCATCGTTAAATGCTAAAACGAGAGTAATCAGCTTTATAATATTAAATATTCATTTTCATCTTTCCCATTTTTCATTATATGTACATATATATGTATATATTTATTCTGGTGAGGAAATGGGTAACGACCAATTTGTTTGGCCTCATGTCTACACCACTCGCCTGAAGCGAGCTGACGTTAGGTGTGAGGGGGGTTTAGAATAAGCAGTACAGCACCTCTCTTGGTATAGAGAAGGTCTCCACAGCTTACTCACATTAACCTAAGCGGTGAAGCTTTTGAACTAGAGCTTTACTCGCTTAAGTCACCAGAAATTGTGAAATTTTCCTTATACAGAAGTTCTCGTCTGTGGAGACTTCAAGTTTTCTAAGCCATCAGCCTAATCTTAGAAAATAGAAGATAATGTAACTTTTATTCAACTGTATATTAAAGGCCCATTCAGCCAAATTGAAGGTCTTCATATTTAAGTGGTATATAAAGTCTGTTTATATATTATTAAGAATAAGGTACAACAAAATACTTTGTCTATAACAATATCTATTCTATATTAAAGATACATTTTAAAAAGTTTTTCGATCTCCCTTCAACCTTTTTACGATAGAACTAGAGAACAATTCTCCTTGAAAAGTCCCCTAGACTAACAGCGCCTAGGGTTTATAAAGTTTATCGTAATATCAGTATGATAATGGTATCAGTGCAGCACCTTTCCTCTACCCTGATAATATAGATCTCCATTTTCATGCTTCTGCTTCATATTTATCAAGGCTGAGGGACTGAACATCTATAAAGGCTGAGGAACTGAATATCTATAAAGGCTGAGGAACTAATCACCTGAAATTATTTCTCCATTTTTTCCACTGTCTCTGAAAAAACTGCTGTGTTTTGTGATCTGAATATCATATATGAGAGGAATCATTAATTGTACCATATTTAGCTAATAAAATCATGCAGTACACAGTATTTGTTATCTGGTTATATCTGTACACAGTACAGATATAAATTTAAAATTTTGTGAATACTGAAGTAACATCTTGTTTAATACCTTTCTAATAAACTTTAAATATAATTTAAAAAAAAATGTGTTGTTAATTTCTATGGAATTGTTGAATTGTAAGCTTGCCATACAGATCAACACAGAGCATGTGTTGAAAAATTAAACTTTTTCTTTTTTTTCTTTTAGCAAGAACAAGTCAAATAAAAAAAAAAAATTCTGAATATGCCAGCACAGGACAACCATCATGAAAAACACAGCTATGGCAGAGAAAAAACAACACTCAGAGAGCTGCTGGATGGTTAGAGGAAGAAACAATAGAGCAATGTGACAGCCCACAAGATAAACAGGATAATGACACACGAGAGGACATTATAATTGACTTTGATGAATGTCAGAGTCCAAGAAGTGTTGATAGTGAACTAAATATTGAAGAGGTAGAAGAAAGAAGACCAAAATATGATGGTTACGCTTCATATATGAAGATAAATGAGCAACCACATAGTGAGATCATAAATTTTTTTTATTACTATTTATTATCAACTTCAAATTGTGATAAATAGTCTGCTAAGTTTCTGTATTTGCATCTGAGGAAAAAGAAAGGTCATCTTTCCTTAATTTATCTACTGTGCATTGAATCATTTGCCAAGGAATGTTTAACCCTTTCACTCTCCAGACCCTTAAATTAATATTGCTTTCAGTGTCACTTTTTAAAAAGAAAAATACATTTCTTTTCTGAAATGGTAGAGAATCTTTTTTTGGAAGGTAATTATGCCAAAAATATGAAACTTGATGTTTTAAAATTATGGAAATATGCAGTATGCCTTCTGTTCTATTGATTGGGCAAAAAAAAAAACCCATTTGATTATTTCAACTACCCTGTAAAGTGCATAGATTTTGGTAATTTGGCATAAAATTACATAAAATTAAAAAATATCAGTTTAAAAATAGAGTCCATAATAAACAATGTAGACATTCTTGGACTAAAATGACATTTTCTCTGTTCATTAGTCATGTTCCAGACCTCTCCTATATTATACTCGCTTTTTATTTTCAATTCTTATTCACAAAAATAGAGATTTGCTATATTTCTTGGATAATATAACCAATAAAGATTGGTCATGGTTTACAGCATCCCAATAATTGAAACAGACCTATTAAAAACCCATAAAACAGATAGGGGGTTGTAGGGGAGACTACCCATCCCCCTGAAATATTGGTTAAAATTGAATATTTCCACTGCTTCGAGTTAAGTTTTAAGCTTCTTCCAATCCTGAAACCAATCAAAATCATCGCTGGTTTAGTAGTCTTCCACTGTATCAACTAATACCAAGAAACAGCCGATAAAACCATAAAAACCATCTGAGAAAAGACCTCAGGGTCACTTTTAAACCATACGTGTGGTCACAGTTTTATTTTTCTCATCATGCACTACATGGGGTAGGATTTTTTTTTTTATACTGTGCTCTCTCTCACTGCCCAGACCCAGTCTCTCATATTTAGTCCAAAATTTATACTTACAGCTTATCTGAGTGAGCTGAACTCATGACATAGAGCTATGTCAGGGATGCTGACCCAGTGACATAAGATATACATGATGAACAGTGAAAGGGTTAAATATAATAATGTTAAATCATTCTTTTTATGAAAGTTAACACGCTGTATGACCCTTGTAGGTTTAGCACTTTTTTCTAATAATAATAATAATAATAATAATAATAATATGAACATTAACAGATAAACCTACTTAACTGCAGGGGTTCTTTTCCTGAGGCACCGGAAATGATGGGAAATTCATTGAAACCCTCTTGAATACCTGAAACAATGCTGTTTGTTTTAATATAAAATTTGAGGATGAAATTAATTTTATTACACCAGAAGTTTAAAAAAACATGTCAGGTTAAGCCTGATGGTGAGAGTAAAGTTGTTGAAATGAAGAAGGAATAAAAAGCAATGAGGGAGGGAGAATTAGTGAGAAAAAAATTGAGCTTACCTCCCTCTCAAGTACCTGTCATCAAAAATAGCTGTTGAGATGTCTCAAAAAATGTTTACTAGATAGCATAATTACTCCCAGGTCTTTCATGTTTCTTTTCATTCTGTTTTATGAACCTCTTGGGGTTTTGTGTACAGTGTCCCTATTGCATTCTTCATTTTTTTCCATATCAAAGCAGCTGGAACTTATCACCATTAGCATCATGTTATTTTCCACTACCCACTGCTTGTTGTATTAATATTGGTAGAATTACTGACAATTTGTTAAGTAAAAGGACACAAATGCAACTAATGTGACATTTTATTGTGACAACGTTTCGCTCTCCAGGAGCCTTATCAAGCCTTTATCAACGGTTTGATAAGCTCCTGGAGAGCAAAATGTTGCCACAATAAAATGTCACATTAGTTGCATATGTGTCCTTTTACTTAACAAAACTGCTTGTTTTCTATCAAGGTAACTTTCATGTTTTTGGTATCATCCACAAATGATGCACAGCTGTGGCAGGTGTTTTTACCTGTCTGCTATGAAGATATAAAACACAGTAGAGGTGCCAGGACTGTCCCATGGTATACTGAGCTTTTTATCTCACAAATGATGGAGTTTGCTGTTTACTATTCCTCCTCATATTTTATCTGTCATTAAGGTGAATATTTATCTGCCTACCTTCCCCATTATGCATTTGGCTCTTATTTTGTGTGCAATTGTAATTGCATTTGTCAATGCTTTTGCAAAATCCTTGTATACCACATGTGTTTTGGTTTGCTTCCAGTGCCTTTGTAATTCTGTCATAGTGGTTAGGCATATGACAGACTTCTCTTGTCTCAAGCATCTTTAGTTACAGTGCTGAGTTCCAGGCTCAGAGACTTGAGAACACATAGTCTTTATCCATTGTTGAGGATACTGGAGAGTCTTCTGATCTGTTATTTAGGATGTGGGAATTGGAATTGACATCTGCGTTGTGTCACCCTCCATGGCTCTGGATAAGGGTGATGTCCATTATGATATGTTATTGTATCCTCTTCCTCCCTTCCTAATGTTTTTATTTGATGTATTTAATTTTATATGGCCAATTGGGGTGTTTCTCCATAGTTGGTGACAGTCTTTGGTTCTGGCTATCCTAAAGCCAGATCAGGACTTGAGAGAAGCTGCAAACTACTGCCTAGTTTCTCTGCTTCTTTGAGTGTTAGAGGATGTTGAATATTGATCTCATTTGGTATTTAGAGACAGGTTGGGAAGGTGTGTGATCCTAAGGGGAATAAGAATGCAGTGAAGATTCTGAATAATGAAACTGTTTGACTTATTGGCTTATGGCAACTCTAATGCCTCAGTTGTCAGATTAATTCATTGTTAATGAGTCATTGAGAGAGAGAGAGATTCTCCAACATCTCATCTTGATCACTGTCATCACCACAGTCACTAGGACAACTTTGTCTCACAATTACAAGTACATACATTATAGTTTGGGAGTATTGTGGGTTTTCCATCATTGCAGAAGCTTCAAGAATGTATTCCCTGTGGTTAAAAAGATGCTGCTGTTCAATACTCTTATTTCATTATTATTTATCTTATGGTAACATCAGATGATCAGGAGAGAGAAATATCCAGCAGCAGCTGCCATCTACCTCTTGAGGTGTGGAGGGAAAGGGGTACTGGTACGCCTGACACAGTCAGTAGTAAGAGGATGATACAAACTGAGAGGAAAACTATCCTTTATGGACAGACTCCAGCTGCTATGTGCCAGTGAGTATGCTCTAGTACTGTACTACTTAGCTACCAGTGGTAATGCTTACCTAATTAACTACAGTATACTATACAGTAGAAATGTTCATTGCAAACTCCTTACTCTTTTTTTCTTTATAATACAGTACAGCTTTTCCTCATAAAATGCACATCCTAGATGTATTCCATGAAAGCCAATTGTCAAGCAACTCATTGGATAATGACTTACATATCCACATAGACTTCCATTATATAAGTGGAGAGGAGTTTCAGGGGAAATATTTGAAACCATTAGTCATTTTGACACTACTTTTACCACTCCCATTCCCACTCTATTTTCCACATTTGACTCTTGTCTGTATCTTCATTTTTGAGCATAAATGCATAAGAATGAAGAACTGTGTCCTCTTGCTTCATAAACAGGTTCAGCAGTCAGTTGCATTGCTCTGCCTCCAGTTTGAGGGGCCATCTGTCAGGAAGCTTGGACACACAGTCAAAGATCTGTATAGTGAATACATTTCATGCCATAATGGTTATATTATAATAAATTATTATACACACAGTAAAATTAATTCAGTGAATATAAAACAAATTTATATGTAAGTAGATAAAAGCATAGTATGGTACATGACAATAAGAATAATTAATTACATTAAGGTTCAGTCACATAAGTTCTTAGGTATAGTTTTTTACAACATTGGGTGACATTCAGTATAATGACTCAGATTCTAAATGTAATGACCATTCCAAGCAGAAAGTTGGATAGTATATACTCTTGTAGCATCAGTGCTTATGTGCAGAAACCAGAAAACAGTAGAGGGTAATTACATACATAGATATAGTAAATGATTTAACTACAGCATCTAGGCACACAGTGCCTGCTTTAGCTTAGTTTTGAATTTAGTAAGATTGTTGCAATATTTTGGTTTATCTGGTAAATTATTCTGTCTTTGCACCTTTAATTTACATAGAATATCTGTAGACGTTCAGTTGAACGTGAGGGATAGCAAAGTAGTATTTGTTTCTGTGTGGTTCCTGTGTTCTGTTAAAGTTTTCTAGGATTTCCTTAAGTTCAACATCAGCACTACAATGCAGTGCTTTGAGTATGTTGATTGAACAGTAGTATGTATGAATTGCATTTACAGCCTCTCCTTACATAATGACGGAGTTCTGTTCCTAAGACAACGCCGATAAACGAATTCGTTGTTTACCATCTTTGATATTGTTTTAATGTCACCTTTGCACCATTTATAACATTTCTGGTATATTTTTAAATGTTTATACAGTAGTGTACTGTACATATAATAAACAGAATAGAGGAAATCAGTTCTAATATACATTATTTAGGTATTTATACTGGTCAGAGAGCTCATCATAAATCTGAGTCTTCAGTAAACAAGTATGTCACTAAATGAGGAGAGGCTGTATATGATATGATAAATAAATAAATAACTACTGTCTCTGAATAAGTAAATAAACAAATAATTACTGTAACTAACTAGAACCTGCAACATTTACCCAGAAGCAGTGTAAACATGATCTTGAATGCCTTGAATCCCAGCATTGACTACTGAATGTGTATTGCTGTTGCACCATCATAAAGTCAAACCATTCTACAGCAAGGAGCATCTGTATATGCAGAATTTACTGAAAACAAGAATAAGAATAAGAAGTTTATTGTGACATGATCCCATGGTTGTACAGAGGAATATAATACAGTAATTGGGTGTACTGTACATGCTAAAAGCTCCTTTGTATGCAGAACATTTCGGGCAAACTTAAAAAATTAACTTAAAATTAGGAAGGCAATACACAAATAACCCGCACATAGAAGAGAGAAGCTTACGATGATGTTTCGGTCCGACTTGGACATTTACAAAGTCAGTGTGACTTCGTAAATGGTCCAAGTTGGACCAAAACATCGTCGTAAGCTCCTCTCTTCTATGTGCGGGTTATTTGTGTATTGTTTCAGTCACGGTATTGTGCCTTTTGTTATTTAGGAAGGCAATAAATAGTTCATATGGTCATTAGATAAGTTACAGTGAGTATGAGAGATTTGAATATTCTATTAAGTAATGCTACATGGGTTTGATAAATCTAGTAGAGAATAATTACAATATTAATTAGTTTATAAAGATTACAGTATTACAATAGAACAATTTAAAACAATTTACAATATGATGTATTACAATTTAGTACTGTATTATTTAAATCAATGAAATTTAGACATCTTAATTTTGAAGTAGTGAGTAAGTGGTTGAGCAATCCTAAGCATGATATGAGTAGCTTTTGAGGAACTGGTGGATATTAGGTATGGTTTGTCTGGTTAAATTTGGATGTGATGAGGTGATTTCTTAGTAGGGCCTTAAACTGATTTGCAGACAGTGGTCCTTTAGTGTGTTTTGGTAGTGAATTCCAGATCTTGGACCCTTTACGTGCATAGCATTTTTGCAGGGTTGAATAGTGGAAAGAACCTAAATGAAGCAAATACAAATCAGAATAGCTGACATCTTGAAAACTACTGTTAAATAACACCTTCTGTCCCTAACATATCCCAACATCAGCTAAATATGTAAAAACTATATACTATCCATATTTTCTTTTGTTTACTTAGTTTACCGAGTACATTACCAGGAAAAGTGTACGATAGGGTTATTATTGAAAGACTTAGAGGTAAGACAGAATGTAGGATTGCGGATGAGCAAGGAGGTTTTAGAGTGGGTAGGGGATGTGTAGATCAAGTGTTTACATTGAAGCATATATGTGAAGGTATTTAGTAAAGGTAGGGAAGTTTTCATTGCACTTATGGATTTAGAAAAGGCATATGATGAGTGGATAGGGGAGCAATGTGGAGATGTTACAAGTACAGTGGTCCCTCAAAAAATCGTCCGGCCTGAAAGTCGTCCATTTCGGAAATAGTCCTGTTATTTTGTCTAAATATTGGCTCGCAAATGGTCCAGTAACTTGCTAATAGTCCTTCGTCCGGGACGCGTACTCACGCTCTGAGCCGCCTCGGCCTCTCTTCCCAGCCAGTGTGCCATTGTTTACCAGTGAGCGACGGTCCCCTCACTTGCTCCAACGAAATATTTCATAATATTCCATTGATTTTAAGTGCTCTTGCAAGTGCTAAATAAGCTATCATGGCTCCAAAGAAAGCTCCTAGTGCCAAGCCTTTGGTAAAGAAGGTGAGAAATACGATTGAATTTAAGAAAAACATCATTGAACAATATGATAGTGGCGTACGTGTGGGCTAACTGGCCAGGATGTATAACAAATCCCGTACAACCATATCTTCCAATCATAGCCAGAAAAAGGAAATCAAGGATGCTGTTGTTGCAAAGGGGGTAAATATGCTGACAAAAATGAGATCACCAGTACTCAAAGATGTTGAGAAGTTATTATTGGTGTGGATAAACGAGAAACAATCAGCAGGAGATAGTCTTTTGACGTCGCTTATTTGTGAAAAGGCTAGGCAGTTGCATGACGATTTGGTAAAGAAATTGCCTGCAACTAGTGGTGATGTGAGTGAATTTAAGGCCAGCAAAGGCTGGTTTGAGAGATTTAAGAAGCGTACTGGCATACACAGTGTGGTAAGGCATGGTGAGGCTGCCAGTTCTGACAACAAAGCGGCTGAAAAACATGTGCATGAATTCAAGGAGTACATAAACAGTGAAGGACTGAAACCTGAACAAGTGTTCAATTGTGATGAAACAGGCCTCTTTTGGAAGAAAATGCCAAAGAGGACCTACATTACTCAGGAAGAAAAGGCACTGCCAGTACACAAGCCTATGAAAGACAGGCTGACGCTAATGTTCTGTGCTAATGCTAGTGGGGATTTCAAAGTGAAGCTGTTACTAGTGTACCATTCTGAAAATCCCAGAGTTTTCAAGAAAAACAATGTTATGAAGAGTAAATTGTGTGTGTTTTGGAGATCTAATAGTAAGGCATGGGTCACAAGGGACATTTTCGTCGAGTGGTTCAATGAAGTGTTTGGCCCTAGTGTGAAGAATTACCTCCTGGAAAAGAAATTGGATCTCAAGTGCCTCCTAGTAATGGACAATGCACCTGCTCATCCTCCAAACTTGGATGAACTAATTTTCGAGGAGTTTGGGTTCATCACAGTAAAGTTCTTGCCCCGAATACCACTCCTCTCCTCCAGCCATGGACCAGCAAGTCATTTCAAACTTTAAAAAACTCTACACCAAAGCAATGTTTGAAAGGTGCTTGAATGTGACCTCAGACACTCACTTGACCCTACGAGATTTTTGGAAGGAACACTTCAGTATTCTCCATTGTGTAAAACCTTATAGGTAAGGCTTGGGAGGGAGTGACTACCAGGCCTTTGAACTCTGCTTGGAGAAAATTGTGGCCAGATTGTGTCCACAAGAGGGATTTGAAGGGTTTGACGCAGCCCATGATGAGCCTATGTCAGTTGTGAACTCTATTGTCGCACTGGGGAGTTCCATGGGGTTGGATGTGAGTTTGGAGGATGTGGAAGAGTTGGTGGAGGACCACAACGAAGAGCTAACCACTGAGGAGCTGCAAGAGCTTCAGCAGGAAGAGCAACAGATCGCAGCTCAGAATCTTGCTGCAGAGGAGGAAGAGAGATAGAAGGTGCCTTCTTCAGAAATTAAGGAGATTTTGAAATGTGGGGTAGGATGGAAAGATTTATGGAGAAACATCACCCAGAGAAGGATGTTGCAAGCCATATCGGCAACTTGTAGAGTGACAGAGTCTTGGCCCATTTTAGGGAAGTTTTAAAGAGACGCCAGAAACAGAGCTCTCTGGACAGTTTTTTTTGCGAGACAGGACTCCAGTGACTCTCAAGGTGGTCCTAGTGGCATTAAGAAGCAGAGAAGAGAAGTAACCCCAGAAAAGCAATTGGTACCCGAGGTGTTGATGGAAGGGGATTCCCCTTCCAAACAGTAAATAATCCAATCTGTCTCCTTCTCCAGTCTTCCATACACAAAGAAGAATTGCCAATAAAGGTAAGTGTTATTCTGTTAATGTTTAATTCATCATGTGCCACTGTATTGTTTATGTACTACATCTATTATTCATGTAAAAAAATTTTTGTTTTAATACTTCTGGGTGTCAGGAACGGATTAATTGCATTTACATTATTTTTTATGGGGGAAAATTGATTCGAAAGTTGTCCATTTCGATAATAGTCCCACTTCCAGGAACGGATTAGGACGATAATTGAGGGACCACTGTACATATATGGAATAGGTGGTAAGTTAATAAATGCTGTAAAGAGTTTTTATGAGGATAGTGAGGCTCAGGTTAGGGTGTGTAGAAGAGAGGGAGACTACTTCCCAGTAAAAGTAGGTCTTAGACAGGGATGTGTAATGTCACCATGGTTGTTTAATATATTTATAGATGGGGTTGTAAAAGAAATAAATGCTAGGGTGTTCGGGAGAGGGGTGGGATTAAATTATGTGGAATCAAATACAAAATGGGAATTGGCAGTTACTTTTTGTTGATGATACTGTGCTTATGGGAGATTCTAAAGAAAAATTGCAAAGGTTAGTGGACGAGTTTGGGAGAGTGTATAAAGGTAGAAAGTTGAAAGTGAACATAGAAAAGAGTAAGGTGATGAGGGTATCAAATAATTTAGATAAAGAAAAATTGGATATCAAATTGGAGAGGAGGAGTATGGAAGAAGTGAATGTTTTTAGATATTTGGGAGTTGACGTGTCAGCGGATGGATTTACGAAGGATGAGGTTAATCACAGAATTGATGAAGGAAAAAGGTGAGTGGTGCGTTGAGGTATATATGGAGACAAAAAACATTATCTATGAAGGTAAAGAAGGGAATGTATGAAAGTATGTGTATAATGGTACCAACACTTTATATGGGTGTGAAGCTTGGGTTGTAAATGCTGCAGCGAGGAGACGGAGGCAGTGGAGATGTCCTGTCTAAGGGCAATGTGTGGTGTGAAGATTATGCTGAAAATTCAGAGTGTGGAAATTAAGAGAAGGTGTGGAGTTAATAAAAGTATTAGTCAGAGGGCTGAAGAGGGTTGTTGAGGTGGTTTGGTCATTTAGAGAGAATGGATCAAAGTAGAATGACATGGAGAGCATACAAATCTGTAGGGGAAGGAAGGCGTTGTAGGGGTTGTCCTCGAAAAGGTTGGAGGGAGGGGGTAAAGGGGGTTTTTGTGTGGGCAAGGGGCTTGGACTTCTAGCAAGCGTGCATGAGCATGTTAGATAGGAGTGAATGGAGATGAATGGTACGTATTTGGGACCTGACGAGTGTTGGAGTGTGAGCAGGGTAATATTTAGTGAAGGGATTCAGGGAAACTGGTTTTTTTATATAGCCAGGCTTGAGTCCTGGAAATGGGAAGTACAATGCCTGTACTTTAAAGGAGGGGTTGGGATATTGGCAGTTTGGAGGGATATTTTGTGTATCTTTTTTACGTATATATGCTTCTAAACTATTGTATTTCGAGCACCTCGGGCAAAAACAGTGATAATGTGTGGTGAGGTGAAAGTGTTGAATGATGATGAAAGTATTTTCTTTTTTGGGATTTTTCTTTCATTTTGGGTTACCCTGCCTCGGTGGGAGACAGCCGACTTGTTAAAAAGAAAAAAAAATTCTTTGTCACTAACATATGGAAAACATTGTAATCTTATTTTTAAATATCTGTAAGTCTCACGTCTCACACCCATTAAAACATTGTGTTCACATTGTGTTAATATGCCATGTCTAGTTTTAAGTAGTGTGCAAACATTAGTATTAGTCTGTCTGAAATGCTCAGGCATGTTAGTGGCTTTCTTTGTATTTAGCAATATTTTATGACATGTAAATCACACATTGTATAATATGCAAAGAAATAAAAATTTAATTTAATTTAATTTAAAAGAAGCCAAAATAAGCAAATACAGGTCAGGTCATTTGGTGGTAGCATGTAATGCATGAGTGTAGCCACATCGCAGTGTCCAGAGTTAAGCATTTTTCCAAGTACTGTACACTACTAAAGATGCTAAATCATAGTGATTTTTTCATGACTGTGTTAAATACTGCTATAATGGCTGCCTCTAAACACTGCTGCCATCTTACAAGATACTGGTGTGTGCTGCACACATACATACTTTTTTTTTTTTTTAAACAAGTCAGCCGTCTCCCACCGAGGCAGGGTGACCCAAAAAGAAAGAAAATCCTCAAAAAGAAAATACTTTCATCATCATTCAACACTTTCACCTCACTACACATAATCACTGTTTTTTGCAGAGGTGCTCAGAATACAACAGTTTAGAAGTATATAAGTATTAAGATACATACATACATACTTATGTTCCTTAATTTGTTGTCTTTCTTATGTATACTGACTCATCACAACTACTGGTCAACCTATTTTTTTACCACATCCTTAATTGTAGTGATGGAGCTTGTTGCTACATTGAGGCTATTGTTTTTTAGGGTTCTAAATGTCTTTCTTATGTATACTGGCTCATCACAACTACTGGTCAACCTATTTTTTTTTACCACATCCTTAATTGTGGTGATGGACCTTGTTGCTACATTGAGGCTATTATCAACTAGTGTTCTAGAGATGTTGCTGGCTATGTTGCTAATGGAGAGGACAACATGTCTGGTAGCTGCTTCCTCACATAGTGTTAATGATGAAGAGGGCTCATTTTCAGTTTCTTCTGGAGAGCACACAGGATTGCCAGTTTATCATTCCTCTAAGAGGAATGATAAACTGGTAATCCTACATTTTCCACCATGCTTCATCATACACTGTAGATGTATGCCCTCCACATCATTGACACTACTACATGTAAGAGAGCAGCCAACAGGAACATTGTCCTTCCCATTAGCAATGTACCCTACACATCTCTAGGATGTGTAGGGTACATCTCTAGGATGTGTAGCATGAAGTTCATCTGTTAAGAAAAGAGAACCTACAAAGGCAGTGTATTTAACACTAATCATGTGACATGGCTCCATACATACACCGCACACTACTGTCACCTGACCTGTCCTGACACATGGCTCCATACATACACCGCACACTACTGTCACCTGACCTGTCCTGACACATGGCTCCATACATACACTGCACACTACTGTCACCTGACCTGTCCTGACACCTCTGTACTATGTAAGCCAATTTCAGTAAATTCTGTATATGATTGACAAAACCCCTAGTGGGCAAAATGTTTCTTTAATAAAAATCCTAAGAGTTGCACATATCTTTACACCACCTGTGATGTATCTGTGGTACCTGTAAATTTCACATATTTTGTTACAAAAATCTTATATACTATCACCTGCAGACATACATGTATTCATAATTCTATAATTAGACATCTCCTCTGGCAAAATAGTAAAAGGCACAATATCGTGGCTGGAATAATTCACAAATAACTGAAAAGTAACCCAAATTATTCTACTAAAGAGAACTTTATCAAAAGCTCTTCTTGGAAACTTTCCAGCCCATCTTTCTTTCTTTTGTACTTTATCATCAGAATTTATTAAATTTTGTATACAGCATTAACATAATTTTGCCAATCTGAAACCAAACTTTTTAGTTTATATTCCTTTATTTTCCAAGTGTTTAATCCATCTCTTTCTGATACAGTAATTGTTTCCCGTGCTTTAATTATCTTGCTTGTCAATGAGATAAATCTATTATTTAATGAATTCTTTCTTTTATATTATTCGCCTTTCAGAATCCAATTAAGAGCCATGGCACACGCTGCAGGAATGCCGGTGCGAGAGAATTTGCAGAACTTGTATTGGCAGGCGATACACAGGAACATTTGCAGCTTCTTAGACAGTACCACACTCCATGCCTGCCTCAACTCTCACAGTTATTTGACGAGCTGGATGTCTGTGCTTTGTCAGTGAACCCCTTAAAACAAAAAATCAGTCGCAGGATCTCCTTGGATGATAGTACAGAAATTGCAAATAGAGCAAATACTGCCTCTGGAAGAAACATTGGGAGAGCCAAGCAAAATAAATCTAACAAGCAAATACCAGTTGCAAGTACTAGTAGAGAAAATAGAACATTAAAAAAAACAAGTGTTGTGCAAACTGTGGATATGACCAACTGCAAAAGAGTCAACTGTGTTCAAGAGACAAGGAAGAAGGGATTTGATACAGCTTCAAGAGAGGTGATAAAAAGTGCCATAACTGTCATACCCGAGACAGAGAGTGATACAAGTTCAAACAGTGAAAGTGATTCTGAGCTAAGTGTTAGTGATTTCATTCCACCCTCACCATCATCGAATGAAAATCAACTGGCACTTGTGAACACAGTAAAGCTTCCAGTTTATACTAAAATTCATATTAATACTAACTCGTGTTCTCTGTTATTATCTGCTCCTTCAGCTTCAAACTCCCCAGAGAGATCAACCCTAAATGATGTAAATTCAGTGGAAAGACAACAGAATCGTGCCTTTGAAAATCTTGCTCAACAAACTAATACAGTGTGCAACAGCGATTACAATAAAGTGTTGGATGAAATATTATTTGAAGATGAATCATTAACTCAACAACTCAAGACAAATAAATTTCTTGAGGAACAAATTGTGGGAAGCAATTTGAAATACTGTAATCCCCTGGAAAAAATGAATAAAGATTTTAATTTCCTTTCAGGGAAAGCAGATTTGTGTAAAAACAATGTTGGAATTACTAAAAAGAATTCAAGACATTACAACACAGTGTTGGATACTCTCATGTTTGGGGATTGCTCTTCTCCTTCAGCTTCACAGCCAGAGCAAAATGGTGAGACCTCAATCAGTATTAGTCAGACACCACCATCCATTACAATATCTCAAGATAATTCTTCAAATAAATTCAGTGACCACTCAACTCGCATAATTGATGAATTATTTGGTTCACTCCCAGAGAAACTCGATGAAGAACATAATGGGAAGGTTGAAGAAAGGCCTGGTGCAGTTGAGGTTCAGAGAAGGCAGAGGCCTTCTACATTATCTACAGTGTTGAATGGATCTCCTTGGGCAAGTCTTGGAACGTAATATAATTTATACAGATAAACACTTGAAATGATACTATGAAAACATTAATTTTAGTTCTGAAGAGACTATTGCATATGATAAAATTTAAAATTCATGCAAGGACACAGTAATCATTTTACTGTGTCCTTGCTTATACAGTGGACCCCCGCATAACGATCACCCCTGAATGCGACCAATTATGCAAGTGTATTTATGTAAGTGCATTTGTACGTGTATGTTTGGGGGTCTGAAATGGACTAATCTACTTCACAATATTCCTTATGGGAACAAATTCGGTCAATACTGGCACCTGAACATGCTTCTGGAGTGAAAAAATATCGTTAACAGGGGGTCCACTGTATATGGCTACAGAATTGAGTCCTAACTCCTAGTTCTACCACTGAACTTCCTCCTTGCCAGATTTTCTATTCTCAAAGGTTTTATAGTACCTGCTCATAAATCTATGTATAGAGGCTGCCTCCACCACCGAATTGAAACCATTCCACTTCCCAACTTCCCTGAGACTGAAGAAATACTTCCTGACATCCCTGTGGTTCTTGTGTGTGTATACTCACCAGTTTATATTTTTAGGGGTCAGTACGTAGTTCCTGGCCCCACCTCCAAGACCTTCATTGGCATTATTAACCCTTTCAGGGTTTTGGTCGTACTAGTGCGGCTTACGCACCAGGGTTTCTGACGTACTAGTATGCCTAAATTCTAGCGCCCTCAAATCTAATGAGAGAAAGCTGGTAGGCCTACATATGAAAGAATGGGTCTATGTGGTCAGTGCGTGGTATAAAAAAAATCCTGCAGCACACAGAGCGTAATGAGAAAAAAAAACTTTGACCATGTTTTTGGATTAAAACAGCAACTTTGCACTGTATTTTCACATGGTATTTATTGATGTATTCTAGTTTTCCTGGTCTCATTTTATAGAATGGAAGACATTTTACAGAAATTGAGATGATTTTGACTGGTTTTACAATGAAAAGTACCTTGAAATTGAGCTCAAAGTAGCAGAAATGTTCGATTTTTACCAAAGTTCAAAAGCAAACAAATCATGCTATGCATTCAATACACGTCAGCTGGTGAGTCTAATATTCTTTCACAAGTGCGCTGATATTATTTATACCATTTCTACACTAATGCAGTAGTCTGCATAACAGTAAATCTTTTATTTTTTGTGAGATAAAAATTCAAAGTGGAAAGCAAAAGAATGTAAGAGGGGCGTGGGGACGTGACTAATGAACAGAGGAAATGTTATTTTAGTGCCAGGAATGTCTTTCTTGTTTATTTGGATCCTATTCAGAAATTGGCATCTTTTGAAATTTGTGTGAAATTGGCAAAATTGCTAAATTCTGACCACTGTATTGGATAGTTGAAATCGGTAAATGGGTGGTTTCTTGTACTCATTTGATAGACAAATGGAGTTCTAGCGAAATAGTTATGATTTTTGTCAACTAGTACACTGGAATTGGCCGAAAATAGGGCTCAAAGTGGGTTAAAATCGCCGATGCGTAAACATCGTCGAGACTGCTAACTTCGCGAGAGCATAATTCCGTAAGTTTTCCATCAAATTTCATACTTTTGGTGTCATTATGATTGGAAAAAGATTCTCTATCTTTTCATAAGAAAAAATAATTTTTTTTTTTTTTTGAAATTTTGGCGACCCTGAGAACAAGTCTCTGAGAGGGCCTGTCGACCTCGAAAGGGTTAATTTCTAACCTCTTGGGCCTTACTATATCTACTCTTGAAGCTGAAGCTGTGCATTGAGTTTGCCTCCACAACTGCTTCACCCAAGTCATGCCACTTTTCATTGCATTGAGTGTATGCATGCTTACCTGTTTTTGGTTGTAGGGGTTGATTCTCAGCTCCTGGCTTCCCACCTTTTAACTTGCCATATTCACTCCCTTGTAGCCTCATGGTTTCTATTGTACCTGCTCTTAAAACTGTGTGGAGTCTGCCTTCACCACTTCTTCTCAAACACCCAAGACTGAAGAAATACTTCCTGACATTCCTGTGCATTTGTGCACATGAAGGGACCCTTTATATTGAAGGGATCTTGAGCCAAGGAATTGGAGCTGCCCTCTCCTACCTTGTATTAATCTTGATTGCCTCCCATTCCCCATGCTGTATGATACTTGTAGGTTTAGCACTTCCATGAATATATGGTATCATTGAATATTCAGCATCCACCGTTATCCAACAGCTCCTGACACTCCAGCCGCTTAAAAGTAAAAATAGGTACCTGTGTATTAGCTGACTGTTGTGAGTCACATCTAGGAGAAAAAGGTTTCAGAGCTCCAGTCTTGTTGTAATGTCATATTCTGTGTGAGAAAACACTGGTCTCATTTAAGAAACTACTGGAAGTATTCGAGCATTGGGTAAAATGTATCCATATTCAGTACTGTACCTAATAATGGTAGCAAAAAGAAATGAACCTATGTACTGTATTTTATGGTGAACAAGACTATCCAGTGTCAAGGACACTTCCCAGTTCTGACTGGTTAAATTTTGAAAAAAAAAAAAAAAAATATGTCCATGGTAATAATAATAATGTTAAGCCTGAGGCATTATGTGTATTATTTTAATCAAAACCAAGTACTAAACCCACAAGGGTCATATAGCACTGCAGAGCAGGGTATGCTTGCTTGAATATAGAATAGTGAGGGTGTGGAGAGGATAACAGAGGTCTGTGGGGAGTGCTAAAGGAAGTACAGCCTCTCCTTACTTAACGACTGAGTTCCATTCCTAAAATCATGCCGGTAAACGAATTCGTCGCTAAGTGAGGAGCATACTATAATGGTAGTGGGTTTCTGTAAACTGTCTTTGATATTGTTTTAATGTCACCTTTGCACCATTTATAACATTTCTGGTATATTTTTATATGTTTATACAGCACTGTACTGCATATTGTAATAAATAGAATAGAGGAAATCAGCTCTAATATAGTATATTATTTAGGTATGCATACTGGTCAGAGAGCCTGTCTTAAGTACAAGTACGTCGGTAAGTGAGGAGAGGCTGTACCATCAAAGTTTGTGCAATAAATCTTTTACTGTCAGAGGTGAGGCCATCAGCTAGGAGGGAAGAGGACCATAGCAGGTTTTGCACTTGTTTTTGATTATAATAATAGAAGAGAAGATAAAGGAAGAGTATTAGAACGATGATGACGTTAGAGGTAAATTGTGTGCTTGCTGGGTATTACATGTAAAAACACACATGTTGTTGGTTTGTTCTGCAGTTGTTTACCACTGATGCATCTGACTGTCAGGGTTGCAAATATTTTTTTTTAAATAGCACTAGACTCTGCCTAAAACAAGCTAAAAAGGTGCTAAATTTACATGAAACAGCAGTGCTGTATGACCCTTATGGGTTTAGTATTAGTTATGATTATAATAATCACACAAAACAGCACTAAAAAAAAACGTGCTAACATTATTAGTTACAAAAAATAACACATGCATTGCTCTCACTTACCAGTATACAGACAATTGTTCTAGATCTGCTAAATCCTAATCAACCATCATTTCTTCAGCATGTGTAGCAGTTTCTTGTTGTGATTGGCTGTGCTGTCTTTCTACTCACTGTCTTGGTACATGCAAGTGGATGTGTCTAACGGCTAGGACTGCATATTGATTTGTAATGATTTTTTCATGTATTTCATGTTTATGCTTTAAGTTTATTGATTTTACTATTAATGAGGGTACATTTGCATTGCAACACAACGAAAACAAACTTACAGTATGCAGATGGCAGCCTTTGTGCTTTACTACGGTATAAAAGTATGTATCATTATTTGAACCCCCTTTAACATACTGCAGTTATACGTTTGCCTTTTATATCTGATAATGTTCCATTAACCCTTTGACTGTCGCAAGCCCATTTCTGAAACTGTTGTTCTGTCGCAAAATTTTTTGAAAAAAAAATTATTTTTTTCTTATGAAATGACAGAGAATCTTTTCCCAATGCTAATGATACCATAAGTATGAAATTCGATTGAAAACTTAGGGAATTATGCTCCCGTGAAGTTTGCAATCTCGCCGATATATACGCATCGGCGATTTCGCTGAATTGAGCCCTATTTTGGCCAATTCCATTGTTCCAGTCGACCAAACTCATAGCTATTTCTTTAGAACTATTTTTTCTATCAATTGAGTACAAGAAACCACCCATTTACCGATTTCAACTATCCAATAAAGTGGTTAGAAATTGGCAATTTTGCCAATTTCATGCAAATTAAAAAATGCCAATTTCAAAATAGGGTCCAGAATAACAATGCAGACATTCTTGGCACTAAAATAACATATCCTCTGTTCATTAGTCACGTCTCCAGGCCCCTCTTTTATTACTCTTGCTATTTTGGTTTTTTATTCACACAAAAAATAGAAGATATACTGATATGCAGACTACTGCATTATTATTATTATAATCAAGGGGGAAGCGCTAAACCCAGAGGATTATACAGCGCCTGGGGGGGGGGATGTGGAAGGCATTCAGGCTTAATTCGGGGAACTGGAGCACAGATCCAATTCCCTAAATCAAGAGCCCCTCACCAACATCAAGGAACCTTCCTTGAGGGGCAGACTACTGCATTATTGTAAAAAATGGTTAATAAATATTCAGTACCCTAGTGAAAGAATATTAGACTCCCCATTTGGCATGTATTGGATGTGTGGTGTGATTTGCTTACTTTTGAACATTGGTAAAAATCAAACATTTCCGCTACTTTGAGCTCAATTTTCAAGATCGTTTTCATAATCAAACTAATCAAAATCATCTCTATTTCTGTAATGTTTTCCATTCTATCAAACGAGACCAAGAAAATGAGAGTACACCCATAAATACTATACGAAAATACACTTTAAATTTGGCTTTTTAATCCAAAAACACAGTCGAAGGTTTTTTTTTCTCATGCACTGCGTGCTGCAGGATTTTTTTTATACAGTGCACACTGACCATACAGACCCATGCTCTAACATGTGGGCCTACCAGCTTTCTTCTGCTTGATTGAAGCCACTAGAGTTATCGAGTATGTGTACTTCCGAAACACTGGCTCGTAAGACGTACATATACATGTATGGCGAAAACAGCCGAAGGGTTATACCGTGAAATATGGTACAGTGGACCCCCAAGTTTCGGCAGCATTGACTTTCGTGAAATTCGACCTTTCGGTAATTTTTTTTTTTTCGGCAAAATTTGGCCTCGAGTTTCGTGATTAGACTCGTGATTTGGCGACCGTCCAGTCCCCGTCCCCCCATCACTGCGCACCCCAAACCCAGTCTCCAACGCCATTCACGTTCAGTGTGCCATTGTTACCAACATGTGCCATCACCCCGCAGGTTCATACGTAATAATCCATTTTTTTTTTGGGATTGCAACTGCTAAAAAAGGGTCACCAGGGGCCCAAAGGGAAAAGCTAGTACAAGCCCTTTGGTAAGAAAGCAAAAGAACACGATCCAGAGGGATTTTGAAGGGTTTGAGGCAGACCCTGACCCTGCTGACCCCTGCCTGTTGTGGAAGGTGTTTGGGCATTGGGCAAGTCCATGGGGTTGGAGGTGAGTGATGGGGATGTGGAAGAGTTGGTGGAGGACCACAGGGAAGAGCTAACCACTGACGAACTGCAAGAGCTTCAACTGGAACAGCATCAGACCACAGCTGGGGAAAACTTGCTTCAGAGGAGGAAGAAAAGAGTGAAGGAGGTGCCTTCTTCAGTGATTAAGGACATGGTTCAAAGTGGAATGAGTTGCAAAGTTTTGTTGAAAGTATCACCTGACCCAAACTGAAAAAAACAAGCCATATCTGCAACATATTCAGTGACAAAAACCCTTTTCCCACTTCAGGCAAATCATAAAGGAAATGCCAGAAACAGACCTCCCCTGGACAGATATTTTGTGCAACAGGGGTCCAGTGACTCTCAAGTTGTTCCCAGTGGCATTAAAAGAAGGGAAAGTAACCCCAGAAAAGACTTGCTACCTGAAGTCCTAATGGAAGGAGATTCTCCTTCCAAACAATAGTGTACACCTTCCTCCTATTTCCCCCCTCTCATCTTCCATC